AACCAATCCACCAACCAACCAACCAACCAAAATCATACAGCCAACCAAGCAACCTGAATCACCTAACCAACCATCCAGCGAACCAATCAACCAATGATTGATCCACAATGTAACCTTGTATGAGCAGATTTAAGGGCAAACCTTCTCTGCAATTCTCTGATGTACCTGTTCAAGTCTTCCTTGTCCTCAAACTCGTACCTTTGTTTGATCGTTGGGACAGCGCGGTTAGCAACACCATTAAATATAAATTACTTAATTTTTACTGAGTTACTGAAGGTTAGTTTGAAGCTAATTGTTCCAGGAAAAGATTTCAGAAGAGGGTTATAAAGTTACTCGTTCAGCCAATCATTTAATCGCAGTACAATCCTCTGATGAGGAATGTCAATAGGGTGAATAGCATAATGATAATAATAACAACAACAAAAATAATAATAATAATAAAAGTAATAATAAAAGTAATAATAGTTACTAATAAGTAACGGTGGATTTTCGTCATTTATTACCCTTAAAATACTGATATTTATTTACTACTTCTGAATAAAATTTGAAGTAGTTAATAAAAATAGTTATCGTTTTGAAGTGTATTATAGGTATTAAAAGGTACATAACAACGCGCGCACACACACACACACACACAGACACACACACACACTCACACATTGCATGTAACATCCACACACCACGCACATATGAATTTGTGTTTCCGCACAAGCAACGTATTATACCCACAAAACATAAAATAGGTAGTTTTGAGTTTTGGATCGACGGCATTTGAACCATGCCACGGCGCAATTACAATGACAAAAGACACGGCGCTCTTACCATCTAAGCTAACCAGCCAGCCAACAACAAACATCAGCAACGACAACCTCATTGGCATTCCAATCTCTTCCAAATCATCCTCAGTGAGATCGAGACCTTCTTCACCGCTGTTGTTATTGTTGTTGTTGTTGTTGAGGTTCACATTTTTGTCCCTGATCAACTTTAGGAAACTGATCTTGCGAGCGTCCGAAGAGGTCGGGGATGTTGCCAGGAAGAGGAAGATGACCATGGCTGTAGTGGTGATGGCTGGATAATCGGTGGATGGGTGAGTAGGTGAATGAAGGGAGGGACGAGTGGATGGGTGGATAGATGGATTAATGGATGGGCGAATGAAGAGAGGTCTGAATGAATGGATAAATGGATAGATGAATGGATGGATGGATGAATGAAGAGATGGATGAATAAATTGATAGACGCATAGATGGATGAATGAATGGATGGACACATAGATGGATATATAGATGGATAGATGGATTGGGAGATAGTCATAAATATGAGTTACCTGTGCTTGCAGGATTCATAATGCTTCTGTTGATGTTAACTTTCTTGATTGCAATGTCTCAGCAAACTTCAATGAACAATGAACAAAAAGTAATTTTAAAAACTTAAAAAAAAATTCAAATTTGTTTGAGAAATTTTCGTTAAATAATCTCACCGATACATTTTCAAAGGTTCTATTATGCGAAACAAAAGTTGCCTTATTGAACTTGATACGATAATCTCTTAAAAAAAAAAAAAAAAAAACTTGGCCACTTAATCTTAGGACCATACGTCAGTGCAGCCCAAAACGAGCCAAAAAAAATTTTTGGTTCAATCTTTTAAGTCAAGATTATGTTTTTTCTGGTGATGTTTTGAAGAAAATTTGAAAAAACATGATGAAATTATTTCGTTGTGTCAGATTTCCTGCTGGTTTGTTCTTTGAAGGTTTATTAATAAGCTGTCGAAGATGGTGTTTCTTAAGAATTAAGCGCTAGTATGGATAGAAATATTTTCTGAAACATTTAAACGATTTTGAAACGCTTGCTAACAACAGCAACACATTGTGAAAACACCACAACAACAACAACAACCAATGTCATCATCAACATCATTCTCATCAACAGTTGCAGTGTCATCATAATCATCATCGTCGTCATCGTCGTCATCATCACCATCATCTTCATCATCAATAAAGGCTAGCTGGCTTATAGTTTTACACCACGCCACAAAGAATTATCATCCTAGTCAATAGCAACAACAACAAAATTAACAACAATAACAATAACAACAACATCATCTTCAACAACAACAAAAACATCGACAACAACCTCCTCACCATCGTCATCATCAACAACAATAACAACAACATCATCATCTTCAACAACAACAAAAACATCAACAACAACAACAACAGTATCATCAACAACAACCTCCTCAACATCGTCATCATCAACAACAAAATTTCTTAACTCATGAAGAGAAGTGATCAGTGTTATTTATTGTCCACTCACTCATTTCAATCAAACAACATTCCTCAGATAGATTACCCCCCAAGTGGCAGGAAAAAAACTTTTTAGCACTTTTTTAAAATTCTCTCTCTCTCTCTCTTTCTCTCTGCTTTGCCCTTTTTTTTCTTGCCTCTCTCTTTTCTCTCTGCTTATCTCTTTGTCTGTCTCGTTCACTTGGTGTTTTCGTTTTCTTTTTTCCCACTTTTTTTCTTTCTTTCTTTCTTTCTTTCTCTCTTTCTCTCTCTTTCTCTCTTCTAATTCACATTAAGTTTTTAATTAAGAGTGAGGAAATTAATTAATCCCCAAGTTGCGTACCTTACCACTTAGCGACTATGATGTTCGAGAATTCCTTTCAAAAATCCATGAATGGAAGGTACTTACAGAGTCACACAAACAAACAGACAAACAAACAGACAAATAACAAATAAACTGACAAACAAACAAATAAACAAACATACAGACAGACAAAGTTTTCTATTTGTACATTAAAATTTGAAACAAAATTTACTATTAGAAAATACATGTGATGTACAGTTCCATGAGCAAACTTATTGATATAGTGATAATAATTTCTATTGTAAGAGCATTTTTGCATGCGTAGAGGTAGGTAAAAATTAAAAGCGACAAATTGATGAGATTTTATTATAAAAATTTTTAATTACATTTTTACTGTGAGGTATTTATTTAATAATTTTTCTGATATTAGTTTGTTTGTTGGTTCGTTTGTTTGTTTACTTATTTGTCTCTCTCTCTGTTTGTAAATGCTTGTTGGTGACGTTTATTCTTTCATTCATTCATTCACTCATTCATTCATTAATTAATTCATTCGTTTGTTCGTTCGTTTGTTCGTTTGTTCGTTCATTCATTCATTCGTTCGTTCGTTCGTTCGTTTGTTCGTTCATTCAAAACAAACCCTCAGTCAATCGATCACAGAACATCATTCGATCAATCAACAAATCAATCAATCAACCAATCAGTCACCCATTTAGTCAACCAACTGTCTAACCGACCAACTAATCAGTCAATCAATTTAACCATCCATATGACGCTAGACAAGAAAGCATCAACGTCATCATCGTTGTACCGTCATCATCATCATCGTCATCATCATCATCATCATCCTCATCATCATCATCATCCTCATCATCATCTTTATCATAATCATCATCGTCGCCGTCATCATCATCATCGTTTAACATACAAATATATGTATATATATATATATATATATATATATATATATATATATATATATATATACACCACCCATAAATTGTTGGCTACTGATTGGTATAATGACATGGGCGCCGGTTACAAGTAACCAGGATCGACTGCAGAGAAAGCCGGAAATATCATAATACAACAATATTAATTATATATGCTTGATAAAATCTATCGAATTTTAAGCTTTTAAAAGTTTACGGTTAAGCTTTTCAATATTCCTTACTGTAATTTTATAACTATTAAAATTAATAAGGAAATCGTTGGCGTTCATGATGAAGCGTAAATAGATCCTATTTCGATTTTAAACGTCACCACCGCTTATTTAGGGAATATTCAAAGTTTTACAATTCTCTGTGTGTGCAAAGTGTCTTTATTTTGCTTGGTCCGGTTCGTTTAATTAATATATCTTGGTTCTATTCATAATCTTTGTTTGTAAAGTCTTCTTGTCGGTGATGATGTTGCTATTCTTTGCTGCTTATTAATCTGCGGTTGTCTTTGGTCAATGAAGATTGTTAACAAACATGACAAAGATATAATGAACATGGGGAGGAGGAAGGCTGAGAAAATAAAGCGCTACAAAGATTTTTTTTTTTTTTAATTTTTAATGGGTTCGGGTTTTGAAATTAATTCTGCACTAAAAGTTCGGCCGAAAACGAAATTTTTTGTTTGAATTTGTGTTGAAAAATAGTTAATGACATCTCTTTTTAAATATGGTTTTGGTTTTTTAAAATTATGGGCTGATTTAGAATTAAAAATACTTAATAATTATCTAAAATTCTGATAGATCATTTTGGTTATTGAACATTCAAAATTATTTAGTCATTTAAATTCATCGAAATTTATTTAAATTTATTCAAATTTATTCAAGTCCATTCAAACTGTATTCAAATTTATTAAAAAAAAATTATTTCTGAAAAATTAAAAATAAACCTTTAGCTGTTCAGCTATTCGATGTCAGATTGGAGATGTACAAGCAGCAACTGAAATGATAAAGAAGACAATGACGGAAGAATAATGATGATGATGATAAAAATGATGATGATGATTACGATTTCGATATAAAATGATGATAACGTTGATGGTGGTGATGCTGATGTTGTTGATGATGACGAAGAGGGTGATGACGATGATGAATTAGACGCTTGTGATCGG